GGGAATTTAGCAAACAGTTCAGAAGGTTCCCTCTAGATTAGCTATCGTCGAGGGGCAATTGAGAAGCCAAAATAGCAAGAGACGGAGCTGGATATATCATTGTATCCATCCACATGGGACTGTAGAGGCGCGTGGTGACTTGATGCAAGGGAAAAAATGAGCCAAATTCAGCCTTGGTGTCAACTGTTTGGGTTGATGTTGAATAATACCAGGAAAGGATTTGGCCAGTAACGAACCAGGAGCCTGATCCAAAGTCAGTGAAGGGGTTGGATCAGGTCCCATTTCCTCAGAGTGGCCTTTCATCACCCAAGAAATGTGCTTTAAAACAAAAAACAAACAAACAAACAAAAAAACCCTCAGAGAAAAACCACCAGGACAGAGGAAGAGCAATGAAATCAGAGAGCAATGAAACCAGCTTCTCCCACCAGTACCCTGCATGGACTGCGTTAGTTTAGTAGGAGACAAAAATAAAAGGTAAAAAGCATAACACAAGGAATGGCCAAGAGCTCTGTTGCTCTGCAAACTAAGCCGTGAGCTCCTGAAATAAAGATGCAACATTAATTCCGCTGCCAAAAGTTTTGGAGGTTAGCACAAAACGTAACCCACCATCACTACCCGCAGCACCAGCGATAGCGTTAGAAACCAGGTACAAAAAGGCGCTGGCGGCTTGGTAGTCTGGGGCAAAGCCGGTGAGAAAACAAACTCGGGATAGGTTCCAAGAGCAGGTCTCGGCCAAAAAAAGGAGGGGAAGCAAGTGTAAAAACCTCCCCCTCCCCCACTCTTTGAAAGGAGCCCACTCGCGGAATTAGGGGAATTTATTCACAACTTGGAACCATCTCCTCCTCTCAAAGACTAACAGGAGAAAGATAGGCAAGGGATTGCAGGAGAGCGCTGGAGCCGCCCCACCGCCTTCCAAGCTATTCCCCTGCACAGGTCCGGGCTGGAGCCAGTTACAATAAAAGGGGTCCTTTAGCAAAGCGAGGGTGCAAAAGGGGAAGCAACCAGAGCCTGAAAAAAAGGATGATGGTTTGGGATGGGAAAGAGTGGTGGATTTAGCCTCACAATGAATATTTTAACCGGGAATCCCAGTCCTTCCCATCCCCATTGATTCCGCTCCGCTCTGGTTTTTAAAATAGAAATTGAATCCAGTCACTTGTTCAAAGCTGTATTGGTGAGCAGTTTGCCCAGAAAAATATGTTCTCTATCTGACAGATTATATCGTTAAGAATCATTAATCCGAGAGATCAATACAAATGCCCAGTAGGTCATAAATCATATAATCAACCTTATATATATATATGAAAGGATATCTCTGTAGATAACATCATATAAATGTGTATGAATAATATACGTCTCTGTATATACACGTATGCATATAGATTAATTGCTGACCACTGTATTTTTCATTAGATACTACACGAGCCTGGGTTTTCCATTAGACCGAAATAGACGTTTATTTTGGAGCCTGAACTGCCTGAATAATCCTCTATCAAAAGACGGCATCGCTACCATTTAAATCGACTCCTCTGTTTCTATTCCAATAAAGACTATCTGCTTGAAATTAAAACTTTGCAAGGATGCCACGCGCTATTTATTTCCCCAGCGAGAGGCTGCGGTGCAGCTGTGACAGCGTGGAGCTGATAAGCGTTATCAATTTCAGGGTACAGGTCTGATTTCCCAAAGTAGCCCAGACTCTGGTGGTTTGGAAAACACGATGGATTTCGCAAATAGGTCTGGTGCATTCAAAACTGTCATAGGCACGTGGAGTTTCAATATATCTAATCCTTATTCGGCAAGGACTTCTTTTCAAAACAACAATAAACTGATGTGATCATGATTTGAATTGAAAAGCTATCCAGGATTTTTTATATTTATTTATTATAAAAGCAGGCTGGGGCTGATCAGAGAAAGGTGAGCTTTGGTTTTCGCATCGATTTTATACTGATCAACAGATAGTGGGGTCGCTTCAGTCAGATAATGGCCTGTTCAACAGCTTTCCTGCAAATATTAAATGCATTTGATAACATATTCTTGAGTCTGGCTTTCTAGGACTGCCGGAAAGTCAAAAAAGATTTTACTTTTTTCTTCCTTTTAAATATAGGAACGAAAATCTGTTCCCATTCAGTAAACCTGATAGTCTGGGGAAATCAGCTGTGTGCTTATATTAATTTGGAGCTGAGACCGTGTATAATTATAGACTTGGTGTTTGGTTTTATTTGTTTACACAGCTTCGTTTACAACCAAAAATAATCATCGTTCGGATTTGCGAAGGGACTTTGGACAACAACAAAATAACATAGATATGAAAAGCAATTCTCCAATTATTTTTAATCGCTAGATTTCAATGTATTTTCCAAACACCCTTTAACTCGGTAACGGTTCCTGCGTTAACCTCTCACTTCCAGTGACACAAATTGGTCATTAGAGAGTTTTATAGCAAACCTTTTTACAGTGCTGCAGATTATCCTCGATTGGAAGCTAATTGAATTTTCGTTACAACAGAATGCAACTAGGGGCTGGGTTAGCGAGTGGTGAATAGATTCACTGGACAGAACCTTGCTTTCAACCATCGAGAGATGCAGTTTTGACCATTACCAGTGTATGTTTCTTGTTGTAGTTCAGGACCTTGGGAATCTCATTCCTTTTTAATGGTGGCTTTGTCGAAGAGAAATGCAAACGCCGAGTACCATGCCGTACATTCTTATTCCAAGCGTTTTGAAATACCCCCAGCATTTCTTGATTAGGGTGGTTGAGGCGGTGCTGATCCTTTGCCAATAGAATTGCCCTCGAAACCACTGGCTAGAAACCCCTTTATTCAACATGCACAAATATGTATTCTCCTTCATTTCTGTGTCTAGAAGTTCAATGAACTCGAGCTACTGGTTATAAAACTGGAGCCAGACCTGGAAAAGATGCGGTTATCTTCGAGGCTAGATACTCACCCTGAAGAAAGAGACCCAGAACAGAATCCCAGGCTCGCATGGTTTAGTTTTCTCTGAGGATTTCCTACTGGACGTCCAGAAGCGGGTTTTTTTAGAAAGACGTGAATGCATTGAGTTGATTTGGTTTTTATTAAGTCATAAGAGAGAGGGAAAGCCGGGGGGGAGGACGGGGGACGGGGAGGAACAAAAAATGAGGAAAGAATTAAGCAGGTAATAAAGAGAATAGGGAAGGAAAATCCGCTGAAAGCTTTCTTGGACCAGAAACTTGAGCAAGCCCAGCTCTGCTGCTCTGCTCCGAGGGAGTCTTGAAAATGTTTTGAAATCTAATAAATGAATCCATCTTTGGCTATTTAACGAGGACCTCACTAGAAACCCCGGTGTGTCGTTGGGAAAAAAGGCAGCCCTCCCTTGCTGCATCGTAATGTACTTAGTACTAATGTGCGATATAGTTTTGTCAGACAACGATATTTACAATGCTGGTTATTATTGTAAAATCTCCCTGCCTACTGTAACAATCCCCTTGCAAGTGTCTAAACGGCTTCACTCCCCAATCCCCTCCCTTCCAGGTTATTCCCTTGCAATCAGGGTTATTATTCCCTGTTAAATTCAGGTTTTGCAAATTTGCTTTTCCTACTATGTAACTAAATCTAAAAACGTGAGTCTGTGTCCCCCCTAGTCCGAAGTGGGGGGTGGAGCAGGGAAAGGAGGGAAGAGAACACATCTGCAAAAGCCCCGAGTGTATATTTATAGACAAACGTCAATTCTCGTTTCCCCTCCCCCCTCCCTCACCACGCTTTGCACGGACCTTGGGCCCACTGACTTCCTTAGGAGCAGGAGCCGGGCCTTCTGTCTTTAGCGATATTTGGGCTCATCTCCCTCGCGGCGGTGCGCAGAAATGATCGTCCGGCTGCGGGCGGCGAGGAAAGGGTTAAGGGCCTTTTTGACTGAAGAGCTGTGGGTGCAGTTGGCGTAATATCTTTATTACTGAAAACTTCAAGGTAAGAGCGCGATAGAAACCAGATGTGAGGGATGGAAGAAAGGCCGGATAAAAAAAATAAATAAATAAGTGTCAGGGACAGCAGGAGTTAACTGGGGAAGCAGGAGTGGAGTCCGGTTCAGCTGATGGGATCGGGGCTGATACCGATTTGCGGTTAAACCCCTTTGGGGTTGCAATTGACCTTTCAGTCCCGAAAAGGCTTCTTCCAGTCCTAGTCCCTCTACAAGTTCCAGTCTCGCCGCCTCAGAGGCAGGTTGTCTAGTAAAACACCGCTCTGCTACCAGGGGGATTTTAATAAAAACATCACGAGCAACAAAGAATTGTTTACATCTGATAGAAAAATGTGAAAATCTTCCCTGGCTTGTAATAATAATCATCATCAATTAATTCATTAATAATACTGCCAGAAGCAAGAACGAACTTGCCCTGGGGTGAGCTGTCTTCAGCTCGTCACAAGGGGCAGAAAAACACCTCACAAAGCAACGCTGAAAGGGTCTAACAAAGTCATTGCCAGTCCTGGAGATGGCAGAGGGAGCGGGGCTGCTGCCAAAGGGTTAATTGGGGGGAAGGGTGAGGGTCTTAAAGGATATGGCTCGGGGGAGGGGGGAAATCCATATTGCTTTTAATAAAGGACCTAATGGGGAGGGAGGGGGTTACAAAGTCTAAGGTCCCTGCAGCTGCGTTGCAAAGTCAATAGTGAAGAGGGCCAGAACGAATCGAGTGTGTCATACCCATTAAATTGTTCCCTGCTCTTCCGCCCTGCACAGATCCCCATATTCATCCCCTAATAGCATTAATGTCATGTGTTTGATTTTCTATTTTTTAATCATAAAAAAGTTTTTTTATGCAAAAGATCTGACCTTCCCCCCCCCCTCCGCGCGCGCTCCCCTCCTTCGTTGGCCCCCTCCCCTCCACTGTCATCATCTACATATTAATTGTGGGAGAGGTCTCGGGTTTTGTATGTGTGTGGGGGGAAAACTGTTGAGAAGAGTCTCTTTGGACTGTAGATAGCTTGGAGGGTGAGACAGAGAGTGAGTGTGAGAGAGAGAGAGAGGGAGGAAAGGGGGGGCAGATCCCTTTCGCGCTGCAAGATCTTGAGGAGGCTTTGGAGATCTGGTCAGCTTTCAAGAACATCTGAATCCTCTTAGAGTTCCCTGGCCCAGCTGTGAGTGTGCATGTGAGACAGAGAGCGAGAGAGGGAGAGGGAGAGAGGCAGGCTCCTGGTGCCCCTCCAAGCGCATTAAAGACACTCGGGCCTTTTAATTTTAGGAATGAATGCTGATACTTGTGTTTCTTATTGTGATCCGGCTGCCATGGATTCCTACTACAACGCAGCCTCCCAGAGCACAGAGGGCTCCTCGCCTTTTAGGGCATTTCAAGCAAGTGACAAGTTCAGCCCTACTTTCCTGGCCAGCAAAGGACAAGGCTTTGGTGACAACAGCAGTAAGTGCCGGAGCCGCTATAGCCAGCAGGAATGCCAGTCCCTGGATGGCAGCGGGCAGGCTCCCAGCTCTGCTGGGGCACAAGGCTCCTTTAACAAATACCAGCAGCCGCAGCATCTGTACATGCAGCGAGGCCCCTGCAAAACTCCCCCGGAGAGCAACCTCAAGCTGCAGGAGACCAGCAGCCACAACGGAGCCCTGCAGGTCTCCTGCTACGGTGAGTCCTGTGCGCACGGCTCCGGTAGGGGTGTGTTTGCTGCTGAACGTGGCTGGGGCGGGGGAAAGGGAGGTGGGAAGAGGGGCGCGCAGATAAACTGAAGTGCCAGGAAAAGGGAAGAACGTAAAACAGAGAAAGCAGGGCGCCTTTGGTGGACAGGGGCCACATGCTTGGGACCCGCTTCTCCCTCAGCGTGTGCTCTGTCCCTAGTCTGGCGAAAGCCCTGCTGGAGACAAGGGGGATCCGTGCCAGAGTAAGGACTGCGGGATCGGGCCTGTTTCTGTCGGAGAGAGGTCAATAGGTTCGGTGTCGTACCGGTGTCTTTCCAGCATGACCTTTGAGCAGTAACCCAACGCGAGCCGTTCCCCTGATACCATGCACTCTTTTGCCGGATTCGGGATCCCGTCTTCCAGTGCCGAAGAGACCAAATAACGGGAGAGGATGGAAGAAAACAACCGCATCCTCTCCCCTACAAATGCACATGCTCCCAGGAAAAGAGTGGGGTGGGATGCATAAAAGCTCCCCCCTACCCGTTTTCCTGAGGTTGCTCTGAAATTGCCCGGTAATGTCGGGGGGTGGGGGGATATGCGCGTTTTGAAACAAAGCAACCACATGCCCTTGGGAGAAACAATGGGTTTTATTCTGTTTTTTTATTTCGCATAGAATGACTTAAGTCATGTACAGACTCGCATCCCTCGATTGTAATTTTATTGTTGTTGCTCTTATTATTATTATTATTATTATTATTAATTTTATTATAAAATCAATGCCTCTTTGTGTTTCCAAACACAGCCGTGTTCCAAACAACTGTATTTTCTATGACAGCAGCTTATTTCCTTTCGGCCTGCTGCAATGTAGTGTTATAATTTCTCTAGATCTGATGCACACCTAGAGATTGCTATTCTGCCATTACAAATGAAAGAAAATCCGTAACTGTGTTCTTAAAAAAGACAAGTTTTAGTTAATCCCTACTCAAAATATTCCCTAAAGTGGCCTTCTGTTTAAATGTGAATGCTGAGAGAAATCTGCTCTCCCCATCACTGGGTTATCTTTACTATTCGCCTCCACCCCCGTTGATTTCTGCCCTGCGTTTGAATCATCAAAGGTAACACACTTGCATCCTCTTCATTTCATTAGTGGCAATTAAGATATCTCCCCGCATTGGCGCTAACCTGAATAGAAATAAACCGGATTTATTCTCATTATCTTTCAGGGGATGTACTTAAAATGACAAACATTTGTTTAGGCGTTTCCGTTCTACGTGGAGGTTAAAAACAATCCTCTTCTTCTGGTTAAGGGAAAGTGAAAATAAAAATCTATCTTTCTCGCTATCTGTCTTCCCTGTTTCTACACAAATGCTGGTTAATTAACTCCACCAGTCTGCATTCACTGCAGTCTGAATTCACTGCTATTTCAAAACCAAGTCTCAGTGAAAGTTCATTTTTTCCACTGTTCCATCAATCAAAAGTTACCCAAAGCAGCCCTAGACCGGGAACAAACTAGAGGAATAAAGAGAAAGCAAAACACGAGCGATGCCAGTCAAAGTGAGCAATGGAGAAGTATTACAAAAGGGAAATCAGAAGTGCAAGGGAAAGCTAAGTCTTCTGCAGCTCCTGCTTTTCCACAGTGCAACAGCGGTGTGCTGGGGTTACTTCTCATCCGTCCTTCTTTAGTTCCATTTTCTTTGAACCCTGGTTTGGATTATGTCTGAGCTTCTCCAATTGCTTTTATTTTATTATTTACTTTCTCTCCATGCACCTCCCTTCCCCCTTTCCAGACTTGAAACAAGTCAAAGGCACCTACCTTCCCTCCCCCCCCCCCCACTACCCCTCCTAAACATCTCCTGAAGGCTTGGAGTGTTTGCTGACTATAGGAAAAGCTGGAAGGGACGGGGCCTGGGGTTACATTAACAAGCCATCCATCACTCGTGCTGCAAGGAGCCGGCCTGGGCAGCCCCTCTCAAAGGGGTGCAGCGGAGAAAGATGCTTTGAAATATGTGTACGGCCAATCTTCAGCCGTATTGTACCCCGCCCTGTAAGCTTCATTTATTTCCCCGAATGACAGCTGACTCCAGAGACATAGATCGAACCAGAGACTCCTAACGTCCCATGGGGAAAGGTCTCCCTTGTCCCAGTAACTTGAAAGCTCCTTGCCTTTTGCAAAGGAGTTCCCCACCTTTGGTGAAGTGCAGGGCAAATCTGTACGCTGTGCACCCCCAAATGGCGCAGGCACCGCGCGCAGTGTAGGGAGAAAGGCAGCTAGGCAAGGGAGCTCTGATCCACAGGCTGCTAACCCCATCTATAATGAAAAAGCCAGACAGCACAACATGTAATCGCTGTAAAAAAAAAAAAAAAGACAGCAGCCCTTTAGAATGCTCCGAAGAAGCCCCTCTCCTCGCCTGCCAAGGGTCTGGCCTTGCGAGCTCCAGTCCCTAACTTTCCCATTCTGGATGGGAGGAATCTGGGACCTTCCTTCCCAGAAACGACCCCGCGCAGAAGAAACCAAAGTGATTTAGATTCATTTCCCCGATAACTGAAATTAAGCTACCAGCGCCCCAGACTTCACACCCAAACATTTTTCTTCAGGGGCTTTTGATGACACAGCGCCGTGAGAGGGGAGAATTCCCCCAAAAATGCTGCAGGGAAATGGGCAGTGGAGTTGCCTGGATTTTGTACGCTATGGCTTGTAGCACGAGTTCTTCCCCCCATCGCATAAGGCCAGGTCTGGAAACTCATCGTGGCTGAACTTTCTGAAGGAAACAGTACAGGGCAAATCCTTTGTGTCCATGTGGAATAGAGACAATGGGGACTATGTCTATTCTTCTTTACACTGCTCAGTGGAGCTACTCCAGACATGCAGCGGTGTAACCGAGATCAGCGTCTGGCCCTGGGTCACTTCATGGGCGGGAAGAAAGATTTAGTGCATAATGGGGGGGGTTGCACGAGTCTGAAAAAGAAATACAGCTACAGCTTCCCCCATTCGGTGTGATTTCAAAGGCTGTTTCCAAATTCCCCACACCCCAGCGCTTTAAATTCCATTGCGGGGTTCTGTAACTCCGCGCACCACGAGGGGAACCCCAAGAGGGAAGGCGCCGTGTCAGAGACCGACACCGTGAGTTACAGCGCGGATGAAGCGTAATGCGTATGATGCCGAGCACTCCGAGTTACCTGATACAGAGTTGTAACCGCCACATGCTCACCTGGAACGGTACATGTCATTACCCTCAACCTTTCTGCCACTCATTTCCCAATACACCTCCCTGCGAATTTCAGGACGATAAATCAGAAGGCGCTGGGGGAGGGTGGGAAGTGTCTCTCGTTATACTCCCCAAACATATGCCATCGGTATGTTTTAAATAACGACTTTCATTATATTGGACTCCACTAAATAAGTCTCTGGGCCTTTAACATAGATTGTAAACTCTTTGGGTCTATCTGCATGATTTCTGGGGCAATGGACGTGGACGGCGCTGCATAAATCATTACTGAGTAATTAGCAGTGAATAAATAGTATTTGAGGCCATTCCTCAGAGGTGCCTGATTTCTCTGAAAACTCTCTGCTAACTGGATTTCTTTTTTTTAGGTTGAAAAATCCAGGGCAACATCTTAGCATACGATGACCCATTACAAGGCTGTATAGAACCAAATGAATGTATCACCCACATTAGTGCCACCAGGATTCTGCATGCCTATCGATTACATATTTAGGCGTTCGTATATTTATTTGCTATTAAGCAACATTCCCAATTGACTAGTGGTACCATGGAACCCCTAACCGGTTTAAAATATGGTGTGGTGTGGTGTGGCTCAGAATACATGGCAATGCAATAAAAGCCACCTGGGTCTGTGAGGAGAATTAACACTACGAATAATAATGGCTAATGATTAAAATAGTTTCTGGTTAACAGTAAATATCCACTGTAAGATTTGGACGGATTGCTGCATAGAGGGAAGGGTGGCACGCCAGACTCATAGAATTTCTTCTTTTCTAAAATTAAATGAAAAGTTTTGAGCTGTGTGAGTTTATGGGGTTCTGTATCTGGAATTTAAAGGGAGGGTTAACCCTTCCTTTGCGGGTTGCACCATGCCAGAGATAGCATTCCTGCTGCACAAGCAGCGAAGAGGAGGGGGTGGGAGAGAAGCGAGAATCTGCTGGGCCTCCTGCTCAGGAGACCGGGCCAGGGCGAGCTTCCCAGAGAGCCCGCGCTGTGTTGTTCGGAATCATTCCCCCACCGCTGTATTGAGTCGGCACTCGCATGCATGCCGCTGTACCCCGGAATGATTTGTATACATTGGAAATTAGCATAATTGCAATAATGAATAATCGCTCTCTTGTATTTCTGGTTAACCGAGGCTTGCAGTTTTGCCAAACCCCAGTCAGCGTTGTCTTTTTACTAATCTCGGGCTTTCGGAGTCCAGTCACTCTAGGCTGAGTTTAGCTCCAGAATCCATTGCCCTGTTAATAGGGGCATAAATCTGCGGCGGGGAGAAATGTACCAATGAGCAGAGCAGGCGACTGCCTGATATGAGGGGACCACATCTGTACTCAGTATTCAAGAGGTGGGTTTACCATGGGTTTATATAAGGGCAATAAAATATTCTCCGTCTCATTAAAAGAGGGATAGAGAATAGGACGGAGAATATCTTATTGCCCCTAATATAAATCCATGGTATGCCCACATCTTGAATACTGCCTACAGATGTGGTCCCCTCATCTCAGAAAAGATATACTGGCATTAGAAAAGGTTCAGAAAAGGGCAACTAAAATGATTCGGGGTTTGGAACAGGTCCAATATGAGGAGAGATTAAAGAGGCTAGGACTTTTCAGCTTGGAAAAGGGGAGACTAAGGAGGGATGTGAGGGAGGTATATAAAATCATGAGTGGTGTGGATAAAGTGAATAAGGAAAAGTTATTTACTTGTTCCTATAATATAAGAACTAGGGGCCACCAAATGAAATTAATGAGTAGCAGGTTTAAAACAAATAAAAGGAAGTTCTTCT